AAAGGGACCAAGTGAGAATTTTTTGGTATTTGGTTGATGGAATTGTACAGCGCTGCAACATTTCACAGATAATTTCCTACAGCTAACAGCAGGCTGTCACATTCCTTCAACTTGCAATTTGCATTTGCTCCCTCATCCCGCATGATTCTGGTGTCAGCGTCCACAAGCTGAATGTCAGTTCCTCTTCTCAGCATACAAATGTCCCTCTAATATATCATGTCATGTGTATTCCTTGACATCTCTAGCATTTGATAATACCCTTGATATTTAGCTATCTAAATTTCAAGTTATCTTTTTCGTAAATCAAATACCACATTACCAAAGAGGTCCTTTTACATCACCAAAATACATAATTTATAAATGGGACTTTAAGAAGACTTATAACTTTGCTCGCAGTATAAGTTTATTTTAAATCACATTGCATGCAGGACATAGTCTGTTTATGTGGATTGGTGGATCAGGCAGCACCTGATCATGCAGTATAGAGTAGGTGATTGGCCATGGCCTTATCTAATCAGATTTACATGCCAGAGAGAATTATATAATTAGCATTTATGCAGAACAAAGAAGGATCAGCTCACGGAAAATAAGGGTTTCATGCAGAACTCTGTGTCTAACCCATTTTTTATGCAACTGGTTGGTTCCTTTGTAGGCCTGTGGTAAATGAGTGGGATTATCAGTATGCGTTTGTACGCATGGTAAGGTTGGCTTAATAAAACAGTTTTCTGTTGGATACCGATACTGCAACCTGGAGTATATGAAGATACTGATATAAATACCTTCAGCCTCCTCTAGTATGCGGCTGGCTGCCATTGCTGAGGCCATAGTGTCCACTGTTTATCACATGTCTTGCAAAGTTAAGTTAAGCATTTGGGCCTAGGTATCAAGTCAGACAGGCTTTAGTTTGCAGATGACTGTCCTCTGTTCTAACACTGAGACAAAATGTAGGTTGAAATAGTCCTTGAGAAAGTTGACACATACTGGCTATCAGATAATAAACTATCCCAACATCTCGACAGCACTGAATTAATATTAATTAGGTCAGGTTCAAATCCTGAAATATCCTGGCTTCACAATTAAAGTAGGTGAAAGTAAAGATAAGGTCAAAGACTTGGGCTACATCCTGGATATTTGATTATTCATGTACCTCTTGGTACTCAAACATAATCAAAACACCAAAGACCAAACTTCAGACTTCTCAGAACAATTTGGTCTGTCTGCTCTATAATCTACTCCCCAGGACTCATCTACTCCCTGAACACTTAAATGGCCTCAGATGTCTCAGGGATGAAGACAGAGGCTCACACATTAAAATGTACATGGTTCATAAAATCCAGCACGGCACTGTGCCAAAATACCTCATAACATGCTTCTCCAAAGTCAGTGAGGCCCACCGATACGCCACCCGTGGGAGCGCCACTGATTTGGCTCACATCACAACCAATATAGAAAAGAACAGCTCACTGTACTCTGCAGCTAGTAGTAGTAGTTTTAAGACTAACCTAAGAAAATGGTTTACTCCATCTAACCAAGGAAATACTGCATTTTCTTTCAAATTAAAATTAAAAAACCAAATTTGTTTTAAACCAATTATGGAGCTTTATGATTGTAACCTGATTGACCTGACATGTGATTTTATGGTAAATATGATTGTGTTTATTCTCCATTGGGCTGTTTACAGTTTGTTTGGACATTTTTAACCAACCAGGGGTCAGCTGTTGTCAGCAACTGAAGACTGACCATTGTTGAAGGACCAATACATTTTAAAATCATCTTTTAAACTTAATTCTGTTAGTATCAGAGTCTGAATGACCTTTTGTTTTGAAACATCGCCACATTATCTTTTAATGAAAAAATTAAATGGAAATGACTGGATTGTTTTTTAATTACGTCAATTAGTAAAACTGAAGTAATTGTTTTCACTGTGTCCCACTGTGGCCTGGTACCCAATGAACTACAGACTGGTACTGGTCCCCGGACTGTCGTTTGGGGACCTCGGCTCTACCACACAAAGTAGGATTTGTGCACCCATGGTTTTCTCAGCTTGGCCTTTTCCTTATTTATTCCTCTTGTGTTTTACTCCATCCACCTGCGGACAAGGCTACCTACTGTGGTGGCATCAAGGACAGCAGAAAGCATTGCCATAAGCACAAACAGACCAACGTAGTGCTCTGTAAACAGTCCCCTTTTACATGACATTTAGCCAGGGTCACTGTGTTTACTATCCATGCATCACTTGCCAGTGAATGACTGCCAACTTTGGGCCAATTAGAAGCTGGCTGGTCATTTTTTTCCTGGGAGCTACAATATCTACGCTGCTGAGAATAACTAAGTTGAGCCCTGCTGTGGAGCTCCCTTGGGCACGCTTAACAAAAGAGAAATATTCCACTCATTTCAAGCTTCCTATGAAGCATGACAGAAAGACCTGAGTGCTGTATGCATTCCCTTTTTGAGAGGAGCCAAATGGATCTTGGTTTAGAGGACATGCAGACTGACTCCTTGATTAACATTAATGACATTAATTACGTGGACCACAACCATTGTTTTTCACAGATTTGTTTTTTACATGACCAAATGCAAGGATGTGTTGATGGCACTGTATTCCAGTTTTCTAAACATATTATTGTTGTTATAATATGTTGGTTTATAATGAATAAAAATACTATTGTCATGCCAAAATAGTAAATCCACTTTCCTTCCATTTGACTTGTAACATTAATTTAATGTACAGGTCTTTTTGGCTCTCCAAACCAATGTACAGTTACCAAAATGCATGCCTTTTAAATATTTTTCTTTTTGAGTTTTCCATCTATTCGCCAACCATTTTAATGGCCTATGTCTACACAATATTCATTTCTGTGTTCTTCGGGCTCCTTAGGCCCCCACAGCTACACGGAGACACGCATTGTCTCATAAATGTGGAATGAGTTTCAGCTAGTGCTACAAAATAATGCTTTGGAATTTCTTGTATGGTCATCACTTGCTCATTTAAACATTTTAAGTTTGGCCACAAGCAGCCATCTAATTAGCATGTTTTTCATATTCTCAGAGAAGCTCTGGGTTGGTCCATTTCCCTCGTTTGCTTGTGATTGCTACACCGTTACTTAATGCCTGGCTTGTGTCTGGATATAGCATGCTGCAGTTGTCTCGAATGCAGCATGAATGTGCTGTTTACTTATGAGCCTATGCATCTCTAGGGCCCTATAATCAGCTCTAAGCTGCTTCTATCAATCTTCATAACTGTACTGGGCTGAGAACAGAAAACAGCTAAACAGCCTCCACTGACTCTCTGTTCAGCCTGACTGCCACCGTGAGCCATGGAGAGCCACATGCAAACAGTGTCTGTTATTTACCTGTGTCTGTGCTCATGTGCCTGTCATCTCACAGGACCAGCTTTTTGAAGGTCCCTGTGACACAAAATAGCTGTTACTGTTAACTGGTTAATGCAGAAGGAATGTTCATAGGGCAGTGGCAATCACCGCTCTGGTCAAAGTCACGCTCCAAAGACGCCTGTACAGGTTGGAGTCGAGGTCCTCATTAGCTTCTGCCCCCAGCTGAACAGCCTATCACCACCCTCAACTACAACTTCCTGTCTCTCCCTCTTCTATGCTAAATCTCTTTACTTTGTTTTCTGTTTTTTTGTTTTTGTCATTTTTACTTTTGTGCAAATGTTAACCAATCAGTCTGGGTGTTTGGCCCCAACGCAATACATTTTCAATTGGATATGGTTCCTTCTTGAACATCAGTTCAGCCAAATAATAATTGTTATTACATAAATTCTATGGGAGCTTTGTTATTCCATTCTGAGGCTAAATCAAAATTTCTAAGACAAATTACAATTATTTTAATTATTTTATATTTGTATTATTAATAATATATAATTATTATTATTATTATTAATATATTATTGTTTTTAATTTTAATTGTTTCACCCAGACAGTGCATCCCTACAAAAAGGAAAATAACAATTACATATATATATTTGTACAAGCTTACATAGGTACATACTTCAGTTTGTTAGTTGTTACTCAGACTACCTACTACAGGGAGATGGTCCAAGTAACACCTAATCCTCTCACATAGTCTAGCAATGACACTAATCTTTATCTGGTTGTGAAGTCACGATGCCATTTGCAAAGTACTTCATGTTCATGCCCCTGTTCAACAGCCTGCTCTGCTCTCCCTTGTAGCACTCTGCTGAAATTCCGGTGAAATGCAAATCCAAAAACGATTCAATTATTTGTCACCATCATTAGGGTATACTGTTCAATAGGGATGTATAAATTTCTGGAGAGATGCCGATGTTTAAAATAAGTCTAAGGCAGATGTTTTGTCTTTTTATTTATTCCCTCTTTCTGCCACGGAAACTTTACTGAACTATTTTAAAAGTCATTCAGCTCTTCATCGTACTATCCTTGAACGAGCACAAATTTATGAAACAAAAACAACCTTTAATGTCAATTTTATAGTTGACATTTAAGATAACCTTAATTCAAATGATAAAGTTCTTTTCTGTAAAATAACTTATAAAAGCTTCCTAGACTGCTAACTAATCAACTAAGAGATTTTTTTGCCAGGTAAGATGGCTGAGAAATCTGTCAGACATGTTGTTCCCATGACAATGGTTTGGTCAGAGGAAGATGGGCAGGAGTGTGTGTGTGTGTCTTTGTGTGGAGTGGCAGTGAGAGAGAGTAAGGAGTAAAGAGTGATCTGAGGTGAATATTTCAAGTTGTTTTGTTGTGTTAGCTTTGCCTACGACCTGCAGTAATCCGTAATAGTTTACAAAGATATTTAATGGAACTGATTAACTTATGGTGACGTGAAATAGTTAATGATCTAGCATGTCTCAGCTTTTTTTTTCCTGTTCATAATTTTCCTTAATGACAGTAGCAGTGCTGTGCTGTTTTCTTTGCTTGTTTATAACACAACATCTTTTCATTCTGTGAAAATGACACATTTTGAGTGTCAGTCACTCACCTTCTTTCTTTTGTGTTTTACAGATGGTAACGAGAACAAAGAAAATATTTGTAGGTGGTTTGTCGGCCAACACAGTAGTGGAAGATGTCAAGCAGTATTTTGAACAATATGGGAAGGTAAGAAGGATCTCATTTGTCAGAATTCTTTACAGAGGTTTTACAATCACCAATAAGTCCATTTTCATGGAGAAAAAAGACCCCGTTCACCCTCATCCCTCAGAGAACCTGTACTATCTCTGTGAGTAAATGAAAGTCTGTCATTGCAGAATGACAAGGATTGGTTTGAAAAACACCATGGATTTCAAATTTTGTGACAAGTGAGCATGTGTCAAATCAAATGCTATTTTGCTGCAAATACACACTGCTATCAACCCCCCAACTGAGAGAGACATATATGCAAACCCTGCTGGGCAAGTATAGGTATCACGGCACATCTAGGCCACACACACACACACACACACATATACACAGGCTTTAATTCAGAGGCATCATTACACAGATAATTTCTCCCACACTGAGCTCAGATCCATTTCACTCATGTCATATTGCACATCAGTCAAGGTCACCTTCAGTTTACACACTTCTCTTCTACTGACTATACTTGACCTTGAGCTTGAATGTTTTTTTTAGATTGGGATTTTAACATGCACACGATGCACCATTTGTTAAAGTCAACAATAGTATAAATTATATTGCTTTCTTATTTTGTGAAAGCTAAAGAGAGTGACTTGGTTGACTGGCACTGAAAAACCGTATAATCTCAATAAGGATGCGTTATTTGCACAATAGAAGAAAGCAAGCAAATATTCATCACGACTTTGCAATCAATTGATCTTAGAAAGAGCTTGAAATGATTTTCATCTTGATTGAATGACATAATTGACTTGATTACACAAAGTTTTCTCCTCCTCAAATGCTTAGGAGGAACCCCACAAATCAGACTGATTGAGCGCGGTTCTGCATGCGTTCTTTAAAAGCCTACTTGTGCATGCTTGGCTGTGTCTGCCAGGCTGCAAAAGCGTGTTCTAGTTTAGGTGTGTGTGTGTGCACTTGTGTGTTCATGGATTTAGCTTCTCCTGCTTAAAATCTCAGTTGCAGTCTGTCAGTCACCATTTTCTTTTTTTTTTTTGATGCTGCCGAAAGGTCAGAAAAAATGTAAAATATAATATTGTGTTTTTCTGCTTCCCTCATAAATACCACAAAACAATTTTGTTAAACTTTACGATTTGTAGCAGAGACAGAGAGAGGGTGACACACTGATTTACTGTGTGTGAGCACAGTTTGGTCCGGCAGTACAACACACTGAGCAAGTGTTGAGTATGTCACAAATATTTGGATAGACAAAGAAAGAAAAAAAAATCCAATGGGTTTCAAATATTCAAAAATTGTATTTTCTGACCAGGACAAGCAGTACTAGACTGTGTGGAGTGGGCTCTTCAAGTACACTTTCAGCTTGTGTATTAAACTGATGAGAGAGTTTGAAAATCTAAAAAAAAGAAAGAAAAGAAACAAAGACAATTGGTGCAAAAAAAAAAAAAATCAACTTAATGGAGGAACCAAATCAAACATCCCCAGCTCCTTCTGCCAGTGCAGGTGCATTTGCATGCCATTTACATGATAGCCAGTAGTGACCATAGCTACTCCAATTTGTGGATGTACATCATCTAATCACATTTTGTGATTGTTTCCTCTTTGATGTGATGTAGTCAATCACTGCAGGGTATACTCCGGTTCCAGTGATTATACGTTGTGATCAGAGCGGCCCTGATGAAGCAAGTGCCTTACAGAGGAGACCTACCCCGAGACTTCAGTCTCATTGGAGTAAATTCTGCTTAGTGATTGAGACTAGCAGAGAGAACAGCAGTGTAGTATAAATGAATTGTCCATGAATGGAGATAGAGTCACTGCTGTGCACGTCCCATACAATAGGAAAGGGCTAGTTAGACAACTAACCCCCCTTTGACATTTATCTGCCCAGTGGTCCAGCAACATCTCCGATAAAGGACGTTTTAAATGACCACTGGAAAAACACAGCTCACGAGTTGATTGTGTATGTGAAAGTAGACATAGTAGCCTACGAAAGTGTCCTTTCCAGAGGTGACTGATCTTGTTTTAAAACCTTGCCTATTCCTGATCCTTATAAAATGCCTTTCTGATGGGCTCCCCTGACAACCAGGTGGCAGCTAGCTCACAAAGAGAGCAGTGGCTCGGGGTAAATTGACACCTTTCAGTGGGTCTTAAGTCTCATCTCCTGGCTGCCCGTCCCACCCCCTTCAAATTGGCTCAGGATAAGCCTGGATTGTCTTGATTGTGTTATCAGTGACTGATCAGGTCATTAAATGATGGAATTTTCAGCCTCTGTTCTGCTTGAAGAATGAAAGATCCAGCACCTGCTCAGAGGGGTCAATCTGTAGATGGCAGCAGGCAGGAATATCTGCTGGGCTGTTGTGACATCAATGAAGGAGGGAAGTGTGTGTGTGGAGTGTAGGTGCCATGCAAACGGGGGGCAGTTGAAAAATGACAGGGGTCAGGAGGTATTTGCAGCTGTCTCTCCATCATTTCTGTATGGACGTGGACACCTCCGCCTCCACTTTGCTGCTCCGGGGGGAATTCTATTGTTTGAGAACGTTTCTGTGTTTCTGAAAAAACAGAAATAAAAACCTTGATGATTCCAACAATGTGTTTTTTCAGAAACACATTTCTGTGTTTCTGAAAAAACAGAAATATATAATTTCTGTTTTTTCATTTTATGATTTCATTTTATATATTTTAAAATATATAAAATGTCGTTATATATTTTGTATGTGACTTTGTTTCGGAGAACAGTAGTTCTTTAGACATTAGATATAAAATATCCTCTTCTTTAGTGTGAAATTCTATGTCATCCTACTATAATGACAATGTGTGTGTGTATCCGTGTGTGTTTGTGGTTTTGTTCTGCGTATTAATGACTTGAAGTAGCTGCCTGCCTACACTTCTTCAGCCACCTATTGCTGTGTGACCAGCTCTACAGACAGCTCCAGGTTATGACATGAGTGCCTCCCACACATCGTACCGCTTCGTTCAAAACACAAAGAAATGTACACAATGTTCTTTGGTCTGAAAGGCTTTTGAAGACATTCTGAAACACTTTACTGCTCACTTTAAAATGTCATTGGAAAAAGACATCCTACATATATGGTTTGTTAAACGTCTTATATTACCCAAAAATGCAACATGAAAGGTGGATTAAAGTAAAAAAAAAACCAGTATACTTCAGTAGACTTTAGGTTATTTTCTTTCTCTTTGTGGACCTTGCATGATGTAGCATTAATATATAATCCACTTGAATTAATTGATAAGGCTTCAGTATGAAAAAGAGGCAGTTATAGATTCATGGCTATGCTCCATTTCCTTCAGGTTCTGACCTAACTGGAGCACAGTGAGCTACTGAATCTGAAACTGTATTGAGTGGATAACATTTATATACAGTCTGTAGTACAGGCAGGGTGCAAGCAGCACTATTCAGTTTTTTAAAAAAGAAAATCGTTGGGCCTTGGTCTCCAAGCCCTGAGTCAGTTTTCTTTGTGTGACTTTTGATAGGGTTGGCTTCCTCTCCACTGTTCACTGGATCTTTCTGTCATTTTTTTCTGATACTGGGCTCTCCCACGGACCAAGTATCCTGCAAACACACACACACACACTGTATATATTATAATAAACGACTTCTCTGGTCATTGAGGACAAGTTCTGTTGCTAAGACATTTTCCGGATTGTTCTGTGTAACAAGGCTTTAAGGTGTGCTCTTGTTTTGTTTTTAAAGATACCCTCAGGAATTCACGACCCGCAGTCTCTAAGCTCTAACAAGCACTTGATGGTTAAGCGTATCACATTTCCGTTTGTTTTTAATGCACTCTGTTAGACTCACTCACAACTAATAAGTCAGAATCAGTTTACCTGATGCACGCATGAAGGATTTGTAAGAGCTTAACAGGACTCTTGAGAGATAGAATCATTTGAATTCTTCAGCCGCTGACGGAGAGCATGATTTGTTTACTGATGTTTTTGTCCATGTTTTATCAGATTTTATTGTGTATTTTTCTGGTTTCAGCTGTGGTAAAGATAAAGGGTGGAGTGTGTAAGACAGAGTTTTGACCCGCCCCCTTGTGGTTGCCTGATTATTGGTTCAGAAAGGGTTTTGATTTCCTAAGCAGCAGAGCTGACTTTTTAAATGTTAGTATTGATCATATATTCATAAGTATTTCCACACAGTATTGACCACATACTGGTGTGTTCTATATATTTTTCTTTTTGTTTTTAGTCAAGACTATTAGTTTAATGGTTTCTGGTAGCTCTAGACTTAATACATAAAGATGTAAGACTGTCACAGTCGAGGTATTTCCCCTTCATTACATGTTTTCTACTCCCTTGCGTTCCTTTCTGTAAGTAAAACTGCTTGAATACCCCTCATGCAGAAACATTGTTACCCCAGCCATATTGTTTGTTTTCTAGAATTATAGTTTGTAAAACAACCAGATTGTATCACTAACTTTCTGAGTCAAACAATGAGGTTCCGTGACATGATTTATGTGGGTATCACATAGTATTTGGAAATATCCTGGATTCTCTTAACTGCGTTCAATATCCTCTGGTATTGCAGTGTGCCCACGGTTGGCATTGCAGAAATCTCTGAATTGGAATCTTATCTTCTTCCATCTACCCCATTACGGGCAGATTGAAAGCCCTGCAGCAGTGCACCGGCTCCCCGGTCCAAACTGCTCCTTTAACTCCACCATGACGGCTTTTGAAAATGTCACACTTGATCGTTAGAATGATGAAAAAAAAGAAATCAACCATACAATCCATAGTTACGTAATAGTCTTTGTTACTTTGGCCACTCATAGCCATACAATGCCATACAAATATATGCCAGCTCAAATATATTTACATTTTTTTTTACTCTTCATTTAAATTAGACTTTCATGTCTAGTCCTTAAAATGATTAAAAAAACAGTGACGCCTTCACTCTATTCACTATTCTAAACTGAGAGTCTATAAACAGTGACGCCTTCACTGTATTCACTATTCTAAACTGAGAGTCTATACATTATTTAATTTCCTAAATGTTTACAATATTG